TCTGACATTTTAAATGCCACGATAATCACATTTAATGAATTTCAATGCCAAATAAGGCCTTAATTTAAAAAATAATAATTTAATGATTTTTAATGAGCTGCAGAAACTCTGTTTGTTGATGGGAAGCTAAAGATCTTCAAACTTGGAAACAAAGTCCAGTGGATTGTTTTTCAACTTTTCTTGAATTTAACACTACTTTATCTAACTGGTGAAGAAGCTTATTTTAATGGGTTTATTCCTTATTTGTGATTTTGGGGCCAGAATTGGGCGGTAGGCAGTTACAGTCATTCGATTTAAACTGCAGACCATTTTCCAACTGATCGTTTATGGGTCTTTTTTCATTATCAAGATAATCTTACCTGATATCAATAAGATTTAAGGATCATGTCACCCAGCCATATCCAGCAAATATCATAATCTGTTTTTAAGGATATTTATTATTTTGTATTATATTTTCATTGATTAAAGGATCCAGGACCGGTTCTATGGGGACACGGGCCCCTGTTGGCCCCTGTCTAGACCCGCCCATGGCTCCACTTTGAACAGCAGGTGTCTTTACTGTGATTATAAAGATTTATTGTTTTTCACTATAAATTATTATTATTTATCTCCAACCTCTGCGGGTGATCATAGAACTGAGGTGTTTATTGTTAGGATTAATATTTAAGCCAACATCTGTACAGATGTTTCTTATTCTGCAGCAACATCGCTGCTTTCTTTATGCATCTGAAGCCAGTTTGGTTCTGGATCAACCGGTTTAAATAAACAGTGAAGGTTTGATTGCTGCTGCAGCAGCAACAGAGGTGTTGGTTCTGGTTCTGGTTCTGAGCCCTCAGCTCGTCCTGCTCTGCAGTCAGAGGAAACAGCAGCGCTGCTGGACTTTCCGGTTAAACCCAGTCTGGTTCTGACCCACTGCGTCTCTGAGCCCAGCAGCTGCCGGTACCGTTCACCATGGACTCACCGGAGGTCTGAGTCGGTTCTGGCAGGTCGTCGAACAGGTCCATTGTTGTCCTGGATTAGCCTAGCAGCTAACAGGCTAACTAACCTCCAGTTCGGTTCCACTATGTCTCTATGGTTAACAGTTCTCACTCGAACCACTAGAGGTTCGGCCTTAAACCTGCATTAAACCGGTTCCGACGGAAAATATGTGCGCAAATGGACCGGTTCGTATAAAAACGCGGATTTCTTCTTCTTCTTCGTGATGTTCTAACGGCGGTTGGTAAACCACAATTGAAGTAGCATTACTGCCACCTACCGGAGGAATATGAACTGGATAGGGTCTAAAATATAAATAAAAACTTCATTTCTATGTGCTATCAAATAAATTATTCTTTCAAAAAATAAATACAGCCTGGCAGCTTTCACTCCTTGAATCTTTCTAGAACAAAGCAATAAGATTTTGTTTTATTTTTATCCTGTTAAGGATCTTAATTTTTCTCATCTTTCCCAGAGTCACATTTTAATGTTTAGTGCTTCCTTATTATAAATAATAATCTGTTTATTCCATGTCCATTTATGTCCAAATTATTGTCTCTTTTCTTATTTTCTTCATGTTCCTTTCATCTATGAAGCTATTGTCCTTTATTCTTTCCACCCCTTTTACCACCTCTCTTTATTTTTTCTTTATCTTTCCCTTTAATTCTGTAAAACTGATCTCACCATTGATTTAAACTAATAATTGTTGGTGATCTCTTTCATTTCCCCTTAACCCCAAAATGTATGGCAAAGCAACTTATTAAGTCTGCAATTCTATAAAACAAACTTATAGTCTCCCCCCAAAGCTCTTTATTTAACCATTTTCCTTCCTGTAAGAAAAAAAAACAAACAATAGTTTTGTTTTTATCTACAGAAAACATAAAGCCTAATTTATGTGACCACTTTTCCACAAGGGAAATTCTGTAGCATTTCTTTCTTTTTTCCATCTGGCAAAAAAAACATTTCACTCTCTATGTCCAGTACTGGACTTACTATATTATGCTTACTATACTTACTTACTAGTTCCCAGTGGTATTCTTATGTAAAACATGGGTTCCCAAAGCAGGGGTGAGAAGTACCAGAGTGCCAAGTGGAGTTTCACAACATAATCTTCACAGTCATTGTGTCGTGATCCCTATTCAACAGTAGATATAACAATCAAATACCCTATAAGATGCACATTTAAATCATTGAATGTCCAATTTAAAAATCAAAATAACATTTAAATTATTTAATGTAATTAAAAGAAAAATGAAATAAAAACAAAGATATCAAACATTAGAAGATTAATTGGAGTTGCCACAGTTCTCTTTTTTTTTCAAAATAAAAGCTTAGCACTTCAAGTGCTTTATACAGTTTTTCTCTTTCTGAAAAAATCTTACACTGCAAAGCTCAAAATAAAAATAATTAA